TTTTCTCCATACCCCATCGTCTTCTCTCCTAGGCCCAAATATCCTCCTCAACACCCTATTCTCAAAGACCTGTAATCTATGTTCCTCCCTCAGAGTGAGAGATCATGTTTCGCACACATACAAAACAACAGGTAAGATTATTGTTTTGTATACTTTAATTTTCAGGTTCTTAGAAATCAGACGGGAAGACAAAATATTTTGAACTGAGAAGTAGCAAGCATTTCCGGAATATCAATGATAATGATAATAATGTTCTTATTAGTTCTGGAATGACAACTGATATTAAGTTTTATGAAAAGGATTGGAATAATTTTAGGACTTGGATTCCAAAAGACACTAGGACTATTTTGCAGAATGTAAGATAATGGCTGACCTGAAGTAATTTTTATAGCTTTTATTCAGTGGAAAGTGGAGCGTATCAAAACCGTACATGGAATAAATAATGGGGACTATAAAGAAATAACTTTATTACGGCGTCTTACATTTTATAAAAATTGACTCAGTGTCTTTTCGGGTTGACCTCTTCAATTTTTAATTCTGTCAAGACTGCCGACTCCATGGGCGCTGTTGACACTCAAAGTTTCCGATCTGTCTTCTTCATTTGACTTCTTTATGGGTGAAATGCAGGTGCCTTATTTTACTCTCTCAACGCGACTTATGTTTTCATTTCAGATATCAAAACACAGACTTAATTAATTTTTCTTTGTTTGCTTTCCGACATTACCATCATCATCGTGTATCTGTCCGCAGACAGATATCAGCGGAACTGCGCCCTCCAAGCATTTGTCCCATTAATTTGCCATGGATTTCCTGATGTAGTACCCACCCGGAGATCCGAATGTGGGTACGTTTCACCTCCGAAATCCTTCTTCTCAGGACATTCCATTTTTTTTGGGCGTCAGTTCCGTAGAACTAGGGATATCACAAGGATATTTAATGTGGTGGTTTCCCGTTGCCTTCCACATCCTATGCCGTTGACCATATCTGGTTCATCCGACTTTGGGGGTGATTTCAAACCCCCCGGGACAAGATGGTGTCCCTATTCCATCACGCGATGGAGGAGAATACAAACCTCCAACCTCCGAAGAGGCTGTTGGCACTTGGTGGAGGGAGACCACTTATACCGGTGGTCACTCGGTTTGTGGACGCAGTTTAACGTCTTACCCGGGACATGACATTACCAGTCATTATAGAAAACGCTCTTATAATCCCGGGGTCTCGGGTTCGATTCCCGGCGGTGCCCGAATTTATAACTTGTGTTGGGCAAGGCCGTGGTCTAGGCAACACGGATTTTTCCTCCGGGGGCTTCTCCGGTTTCTCCGTGGCTTCCCAACACTTACTCCATTCACACACAGAAGAAGGGAATGGCAAACCACTTCTGGATCATCTGCCAAGAACGTATATGAACAGGTCCCAGTCCGAGAAAAGGATGGAAGGATCCTGTTCATATGGACCTGTCGTCAGACAAAACACTAAATAATAATAATAATATAATAATAGAAAACGCTACAATCCTTACGAATCTCATTCTGATTTTTCACTGCGTTTTTTTCAGTTACGGAACTTATGTAATGGAGTGGGTTTGACCTTCCTTTAAATATTTGAAACTCTACATTTTCTTCCTATCCAGAACTGTACTGTAAATTGTTTATATGTGCTAATAAATAATGCATTAGCCAAGTTAAAAATGCAAAACCAGCAACCATCACCGCAATGTACGACCTAGAAAGATTAATGG